GCGTGCCCGTGCGCGAGGGCCGTGTGCGCGCCACGCTCTTCCTGCCCGCAGGTAAATCGGGTTGCTGGAGATGGGCTTCCTAGGAAGTTGCTATTGGTCGTTTCAGTGGCCACTCAAACAGGTTGGGGGATTTTCATACAATAGCAAGTGCCCTTTGCTGGCATTATCTCATTTAATCTCTGTTTATCCCAAAGAGATAAGTGTTATTATCCAGTTGATGAAAAATACAGGTGAACTTTGTTGCAGTACAGTACCCTACAGATCTCCCAGGCAGAATGGTTAGGAAAAATGATAGACAGAGGAAACAGACTGCCACATTGTTTTTGTCTTCTCCCCACTCCACCCGCGCCCCTAGTCAGCACACACACACACACACACACACACACACACACGACCTTAAGAGTTAATGCCATAGTACATCCAGCTTAGCATCAATTGCTTTTTGTTCTTGTTGTTTTAAGTTTTTAATTTTAACCTTGTGGGGCTTGTGAGATGGCTTAGTGGTTAAGAGCATTCACTAGCTGTTCTGCTGGAGGAGCCTGGGTTCAATTCCCAGCACCTCGCATCTTCAAGGCTCACAGCTGTCTGTAACTGGGAGATCTGACACTCTCACACGGATAAACATGCAATCAAAACTCCAATGAATATAAAATAAAAATAAATTTAACTTTATTTTGTTTTCTCGTGTGTATGGTTTGTGTGTGCTGGTGCTCATGGGGGTCAGAAGAGAGGATTTGGGGTTAACCTTGAGCTGGAGTTGCCAGTACTTGTGAGCCCCAGTCTTGGGTCCTGGGTTCTCTGCAAGAACAGGGAAGCTCTCAACCACTGTGGCACTCTCTGCTCTCCCCTCCTGTCCCCCCACTTCCTGTTGTCTTCAGCTGTCAGCAGAGCAGGAGGAGGGGACAGTCTAAGGCTTGCAAGTCCTCCTGCCAAAATGTACTCCTCACCCCAAGGTTTACCACTGTCCCCTGTAACAGCAGCCCATCTGTAGAAGTATGCAAATAGCTTTTTACAGAATCATTGATACATTTCCAATCTTAAACGGTATCATTTATAGCATTCATCCCCTAGAACCATGCAATTGACTTACAAACAAAAAAAAAATCACACACCAAAAAAACACCTTCGATGTTTCATGTAAGTTTATGATTTTGTGTTGGGCCAAATACATAACTGTCCTCCTGTGACTTGTGGGCCACATTTTGGATTCCAGAGGAGGATTAAAACCCAAGAGACTGCTTAGATTTTTCTCACTCCAAAGCTCCTGTATGTCCGTTCAGTAGTGACACAGGAGTCTGCCGTACTGGATTCATAGAAACCAACTAGACAATTTAGAAAGGTGTCTGAAAGAGAAGCCAATTCTTTGGATTGCATGATGCATTTGCCTTGCCGTGTTCCCCTCTGTAGGACAAGGACCCTTTCCAGGGATCATCGACGTCTATGGTGTTGGAGGGGGCCTGCTGGAATACCGAGCCAGCCTTATGGCTGGCCATGGCTTTGCCACATTGGCTCTGGCTTTTTATGGCTTTGAAGATCTCCCTAAAGAGCTCAACGTCATAGAAGTGGACTACTTTGAAGAAGCAGTGCGCTACATGCTTCAACACCCGAAGGTTCTCCTCGTGGGCTTTATTTAATCAGTGTCCCTGGCAATATCTCTACAGACCACAGATGTCTCTGGCTCCAGCTGAACTGAGGCTGCTGTGCCGAGGCTGCCGTGCCGAGGCTGCTTGGTCTTTGTAGAGAAAGTTTCTTAGGGAGGTTTTCTTGGCTTTGAGAATCTAATACTTCCTTTTTCTTTGTTGCATAGCTTCATAAAAAATTTGCTAAAATGAAATTTCACTTCATATAATAGTAAAATCCCTCTTGCCATACAGACTAGATATCCTACCACCCTGGCTTCATAACCCTTAATTTTCCTCTCAAATTTAGCCACAACTTGCCCATCCTTTCCAAAGGCTAAGAACGGCTACGTTGGACATTGAACTCTGTCTCTGTGAAGTTAATCATTTTCTAGTATTGCTCGGACGGGGTTGGATGAGTAATTCACATCCTGGACCACTGCTTAATCCACATGGTTCAACACACAGCCAAATAAAGCCGTAGGCCGGGCTCACGGAAGGGAGGGTCTCACCCTGACAGGCTCCCAGGGCTCAGCAGTTATAACCAACTCCTAAGTGGGACTGTGTAGGCTTGTTTGCCATGAAAGATTTATTTCCTTTTATTTTATGTGTATGGGTATTTTGCCCGCATTTGTGACTGTGCACCAGATGCATGTATTGACCACAGAGGCCAGGAGAGGGCAGCAGATCCCCCTGGGAGTTATGAACAGTTGTTACCCATCACCTGGGTACTGGAAATCAAACCAGGATCCTTTGGAAGAGCAGCCAGTGCTCTTAACAACTGAGTCATCGCTCCAGCCCTTCCAGTTGCTTCTCTTGGTGCTGGGTAACTTCTTTTTTACTAACCTTTTTTTTTTTTTTGGCTGTACATGTTCCACAGCACACCGGTGGAGACGAGGACCACTTGCAAGAGTCAGTTCTCCTCTTCCACCTTGTGAGGAATTGAACTCAGGTCATCAGATTTTGCACCAAGCACCTTTGCTCACTGAGCCATTCCCTTAGCTCTCTCTCTCATTCCCTTAGCGCTCTCTCTCTCTCTCTCTCTCTCTCTCTCTCCCCCTCCCCTCTGGTTTTTAAGAATTGCTTAGCCTGGCCTTGAACTCTCTATGTAGCTGACTGACTGAACTACTGATCCCCCGCCTCCACTTTCCCAGTGCTAGATTATAGGCATGTTCCATCTCTGACTCTTACCTCATCTTTTTTTTTTTTTTTTTAGGTAAAAGGCCCAGACATTGGGCTTCTGGGTCTTTCCCTAGGAGCTGATGTCTGTCTGATCATGGCTTCCTTCTTGAAGAATGTGTCAGCCACGGTTTCCATCAATGGCTCTGCATTCAGTGGAAACAGACACATACACTACAAGGAAACCATGATTCCACCATTGGGCCACGACCTGAGGAGAATGAAGGTGGCTTTCTCCGGCATACTGGACATTGTGGATATACGGAACGATACAGTGGGGGGGTGTCAGAACCCCAGCATGATCCCAATAGAGAAGGCCAAGGGGCCCATCCTCTTTGTTGCTGGTCAGGATGATCACTGCTGGAGGAGTGAGTTATACACTCAGATAGCCTCAGCACGGTTACAGGCTCACGGAAAGGAAAGGCCCCAGGTAATCTCTTACCCTGGGACTGGGCATTACATCGAGCCGCCTTACTTCCCCATGTGCCCAGCTTCCCTGCACAAAATAGTGAACGAAGCTGTGATTTGGGGAGGGGAGGTCAGGGCTCACTCAAAAGCCCAGATCGATGCATGGAAGCAAATTCTATCCTTCTTTGGCAAACACCTGGACAGTACGCACAGCAGAGCCTCCTGTAGATTGTAGTGGGCTTGCCTGCAACAGACGTGGTAGATTCAAGGTCTAATGTTCAGTAACTATGTGAATCAGATTTCTGCTGGATGACATGAAATTCATGTTTGGGGCACTGATGGCTTATAGGTCACTATACTGAATAAATTATGAATCAATATGGCTATTCTACGAACAATATGTGCTTGTTACAGGTTCGGCTATATGTGATATGATAAGTAAAGTTTAAAAACAACCCCTTATTAAAATGTATGATTTCTTCTAAGCTCAGCATTTCAGTGGTAGTTGCAGCTGTTTTTTGTTGCATTTGTTGTTTTGTTTATTTCTTTCCTTTTGGGGACAGGACCTCAGCTCTGGCTGGCCTGGAACTTGCCATGTAAAAGAAGCTGGCCTTGAACTCACAGAGATTGTCCTGCTTTTTCCTCCTGAGTGCCAGGATTAAAGGCTGGAACCACTATTCAACCACTAACCTACTTAGTTAACACTTTGACTTATGGCTCAACTTTAAAGACAGTGGCTGGGGCCGCCTCGATTCATGTCAGCTTGACACAGGCTGGAGTCATCTGAAAGGAGGGAACCTGATGTGTGTGCACATTCATCTGGATATACATGTGTGTACCTTCCACATGCATGTACCCATCCACACGTGCACACACACTTGTGTACACACACATGCGTGCACACACGTACATAAACACACACACACAGAACAAGACAACAAGAAAGAAATGATAATTTTGCCATCTCAATGGAGTTGATCGAGCCTTTAATTTTTCCAAATAACATTTCTGAAAATGCTTCTTACCTGTGTTGATTAAAACAGCAAAGAAACAAACAAACAAAAAACTGTTTTGCTATTCAAGGTCACTTGGAGTCTTATTATTCCGTCCCTTTCAAGCTAAAAGGTGAACATTAAGAGTGACTCCCTAAAGTTGAGACTAAAAAGGCAATAAGGAAAGGAAAAGAGGGCTGGAGAGATGGCTCAGTGGTTAAGAGCACTGACTGCTCTTCCCGAGGTCCTGAGTTCAATTCCCAGCAACTACATGGTGGCTCACAACCATCTATAATGAGATCTGGTGCCCTCTTCCGGTGTGTCTGAAGACAGATACAGTGTACTCACGTACATAAAATAAATAAATAAGTCTTTTTTTAAAAAAAGTAAGAAAGGAAAAGAAACTTTCAGAACTAACAATTCCTATGGAGTTTGTTTTAACCTAAACATTGGTCCACAGCCTTCAAAAGATTACATACACACTCATCTGTCTCATTTTGCAAGAAATACAATTGGATTAGGTTCTCTTTAATCAACCCATAAATTTCAGTGTGTGTGTGTGTGTGTGCGTGTATAGGTCAGAGGACAACTTGCAGGATAAGCTGTCCTTTGACCACTGTAGAAGGTAGTCAGGCTTGGTGCCAAGCAACTTAATCAGTGGTACCATCTCAGCAGCCCTCTGTTTAGTGGCTGGGCAGGGTAATATTTGTTGGTAGTACATGTCTGTTATTTGCTTTTTCCTCAGGGTGACAAAACACCTCATAGAACAATTTGAAAGGAAGGATTTATTCAGACTCATGGCTTTAGCAATCCATCATGGCCAGGAGGCCTGGCACTCATAGGAGCAGCCACTTGTGAGGAATACTTCTCGATTCCAATGGCACAGTGACATGAGCCTTTCTTTAGTCTCCTTACTCAGGATATAGAGGCAGGAAGATCTCTGAGTTTGAGATTAGCCTGGTTTACAGAGGAAGATCCAGGCCAACCAGAGCTACACAGAGAAACCCTGTCTCAGAAAGACTTCTCACTTCATGGTAGACCAGGACTCAGAATGAGATTGGCAGGAACCAGATAGTCTTTCTCAATGGCTTTCTACTTTCTCTTTTTCCTCCTTTTCTTCCCCTTCTTCATTCTCCTGTTACAATTACTCTTGGGACAGTGTAGCCCTGGCTGGCCTGGGCTTGCTATATATACGACTGGCATCCAATTATAAGATCCATTTTACCTCTGCCTGCAGAGTGCAGGGATAACATCACACACACCACACCACACCATTAGAACCAGGTTTTCTCAACAAATTTTCTTTTTCTAATAAAGAACCACAAAGGTTTTGATAGTCCATTCTGAAATCTGCTTTCATTCTCCCTGCTGTGTTCTGAACAGCTTTCCTACATTACAGTCTCCACTAACTGATCTCTGTCTGTCTGTCTGCCCATCTGTCTGTTTGTGTCTGTCTGTCTCTTTATCATGACCTCCTTTGAGTTTTTTTTTCTTTTACTCTGATTCTTACTATTGTAACAGACACCAAAAATGTTTGTCTTAATGGCATAGATGAATCTCCTTCCTGTGCTGAATTAGAGGAAAGCCACAGGAGTCCACATGGCTTCGCCATCTTCAAGGGTCCTGCCCTCGATGCTCAAGGCTCTGGCTTTCTTGTTGCCATTCTTCTGTATCAGGATGACACATGCATATTTCAAAATGTGTGTAAAACATCTGCCTACCGTGGTTTCCAGCCTGACAGTGAGTAAAACCAGATACTTCCAATGAGGCCAAGCATTCTCCTTGACCTTAATTATGAGAAGTTGGAGAAAAACTCTGCAGATGATCTCATTTTAGTAAATATAAAAAAACAGTCTGTGAGTTTGAGGACAGGATGGTCTATATGTTCTAGGGCATTGAGGACTACATGGTGAGACCCTGCTTCAAAAATAAAAACAAACACAAAAGACACAAATAAATACTTATTATTTTCCAAATACTTAAATATTCCTCCTCTAGATGGTTAGAGGAAGAGATATCAAAGAGAAGGGATGCCATCAGTAGTGGAGAGTAAAGTCATCAAATAATGTGTTTTTACAAGTCAGTGTCTCCTAAGGTTCCAAGACAGTTCCAGGCCCCATTTCTGTGGTAATGCTTATTGGTCATCCAATAAAATTATAAAAGTAATCAATGGTCCATGAAACATTCACTCTCTCAGCCTGAGTATCAGCTGCAACCAAGGGAAAGGTCCTGGCGGGCCCCCAAGTAGGTAAGTTAAAGATTAGTGTTTTGAGGAGTCAAGAGGAGTGAACACCAATTTATTACCAGGATGACAAGACTTTGCACACAGGGGCAGTGGTCATTTTGAAAACTGTGCCTTCCGGGCTGGAGAGATGATTCAGCGGTTAAGAGCACTGACTGCTCTTCCAAAGGCCTGAGTTCAATTTCCAGCAACCATAAGGTGGCTCACAACCATCTGTAACGGAATCTGATGCCTCTTCTGGTGTGTCTGAAGACAGTGACAGTGTACTCACATACTTAAACTAAATAAATCTTTCAAGAAGAAGAAGAAGGAAAAGGAGGAGGAGGAAGAGGAGGAGGGGAAGGGGAAGAAAAAGAAGAAGGAGGAGGAGGAGGAGGAGAAGAAGAAGAAAGAAGGAAGAAGAAAGAAAGAAAGAAAAGAAAAGAAAGAAAGAAAACTGTGATTTCCATTTCAATTAATTATCCGTAGCCAAGGCAACCTTTGTGTTATGTTTGACATGTGCTAGACTTAGTTTCCAGTTTGTGGCACTACTGGGTGATCATATAACCTTAGGAGGTAGGGCCTGATAGAAAAGGAGAGGCCACAGGGGGAATGCCCTTGAGGGAGACTCACTCTCTTGATGACCAGATGAGTTCTGACCCAGACCCCACTTTCAGCAATACAGCCTTTCCACACTGAATTCATAACCCTGGGTCTCTTAGTCATGGATGATTCCTAGGACCTCTCAGAGAGAAATCCTTCTGGGAGTGCCCTGATCATGAATAGCCAGAGAAATGATGTTCTATATCAGAAAAAACTCTTTTGTCTATTTGTGAAGTCCTAACCCTAGTAGCGGGGCACAGAAATTCATGTTCTGGGTTAATTCTGGAGACAGTATGTCTCTGGGTATTTAGTCTGGTCATCTCACTGGGTGCTTAGACAATGGTGGACTTTGTGTAAGGCCATTCCTCTGTCAACCTTCTGTGAAGTCGATGGTTTAGCAGTACCAGGAATACCTGTGCAGCTCCCAGAACCAGGACTCCCCAGCAAAAGTATGAATGGCAAGACCTGAGTCACTTCTTCAGTTGCTTCTCTCCCAGGTGACAGAAGCCATATGTCTTCCCAGCTGGAAGGCCCCAGGCAAAGGCAGTAGAAGCTGTCTTTCTTCTATATAGTTTGGCTTCTGTATTGAGGGCTGAATTAACCAGTTAAGTTTGGTGAATCCCAAGTTTCCCACTTCTGGCTGCAGTAACCTTCTACAGGAAACTCTCAGACCTGAAGCCTAATTGTATACTTTTTGTTTTGTTTTGTTTTGTTTGTTTTGTTTTCTGAGACAGTTTCTCTGTGTAGCCCTGGCTGTCCTGGAACTCACTCTGTAGATCAGGCTGGCTTCGAACTCAGAGATCCGCCTGCCTCTGCCTCCCAAGTGCTGGGATTAAAGGCTGTGCCACCATGCCTGGCTCTAACTTTTTAAAATCATTATTCATTGAGCTTCAAATTGCTTTTCTTCCGTCTCCACTCTGTTCCTTGTTCAGGTAGCGCTAAACTACAGGTAGATTCAGGGAGGGTGAAATAAAGAGGTTCCTTCTCCAGGCTAAATCAACCTACAGTTGCTTGCCAGCTCTTTCTGGCCCTTTAAGGCTTGAGGTCTGCACCAAGCCTTACTAGGACTGTTTGTTTACAGAAAAGAGAGGAGGAGGGAGCTTCCTCGAGTGTGAGGAAGACTCCTCTGATGGGTCCTTAACTCAGGAGTCACTGACAAAGTTTGAAGAATAATTTTATTACTACAGGCTGAAAGTTGAAAGAAATACAGCAGAGAGCAGAGTTCCAGGGAGGCCCTCAAGAGAAGAAAATCAAATTCTTTGGGCTTCTCTAGGGACTTCTTATAGGTCACAGACAGTGTCTCAGGTAGATTATCTGAGTATGGGAAGTTGAGAGGCGTCGGAAGGCACATAGTCTACGCACATTCGCCTGGTCCAATCAGGGAGTTCAAAAGCTCTTCACATACTGCTTGCCTGGTTAGGGGTGGTTGAAGCCCTTCTCCGTCCATCTCTGACTTCTGCGTTATTAGCTCCTGATCTTGTCTGCTTGCTGGTAACCAGTCCTGACCAGTATCGCTCTGCTCCAACCTTGCAAGGTCTGGCTACTCTTAGACCTTTGTGGGGTCAGCTAGGCATTTAACTTATGGTCTCTTTGGGTCTACATCATGTGATCAGTCCATAGCTTGACCATGGGCCTTTTTCCTTTACTGTCTATGGAGAGTTAACGGGTTATCACGGCTATCAAGATATAGCTATGGTCTTTCTTGGTTACCTCATATTTAGCTCATAGCAGACGCAGTCTGGAATAGGATTAGGTCATGGGTTTTTATTTTTGTTTTTGTTTTTTAGAAGCCACCCTTAAAATTTAGTCAGCTACAATGAGCTCCGTTAGAAGCAAGAATCTATTAACGAGCATCGATGCCATGTTTGTACTCCTTGGGGAAGAAGCTTCAGGGGAAGCCGGTCTACCTGCCAACCCTGGCCCAGCTTAGCTGTCTCACGCCCAGCTGCAAGCCCTTTTCTTCCTCTATTCCCAACTTCATGGTTTTAACTCCAACACACTCGGCCTCTGCTTCTACAGAGCAGTCGCCCCTGCTTTTGTAACAAGACCATTGTGAAACCCTTTCAAGTAACTTGAACTTTCTCTCAGCTGAGTTGGAAAACACCAATTCCCCACTTGCTATTAGCACAGTTTTAATAAGTTAGCCTATCCCAGGAAAACTTTTCAGCTAAGGACAATTAATTACATATCTTGAAGGAACTGGAAGAGTGCAGAGTGGTGGTCCAGGCTGGTGATCCCAACGTTTGGAAGGTGGAGACGGGAGTTCTAGGTAATCCTTAGCTAGATAGTTCAAGATCAACTTGAGCCAGATTAAAAACAAAAACAAAAACAAAAACAAAAAAACCTTATCTCAAAACAACCACCACTACCATCACCACTATGTAGAACATAATTAAGGAGCAGCATGCCAGGTCTGACTTCAATAGAAGTGGCTCCGGGTACCACAAAGACTAGAGAAAGGCTTGGAAAGAGAGTCAGGGAATACGGCCTTGTTTGGCATGGAGCACTGGAATTACAGTTCCCTGATATACTTTGGCACAATCCGGATTTTTGTAACGACATCTCTCCCAATCTTTCTTTTATACACGATTTCAACATGCACCAAGTTGTAAAACAAGACTAATCGGAGGCTGGAGAGGTAGCTCAGAGGTTAAGAACACTGGTTGAGTTCAATTCCCCGCAACTACGTGGTGGCTCATAACCATCTTTAATGAGATCTGGTGCCCTCTTCTGGCCTTCAGGCATACATGCAGGAGACTGCTGCATACATAATAAATAAATCTTTTTTTAATTTTTATTTTAAAATGTTAATTAAAGGCTTTATAAATTTGGTAATGCTCAATAACAAGATGCCCGTACAATCAGAAGTGTAACCCAATACCCAACCTAGCTATACCAACTATCTTTGACTGGCGGAGACAGGCGAACGTCCGCCTCCATGTTCCCCTCCTCCCCTTCTCCTAGCTCCTCCTCCTCTCCTTACTCCTCTTCTTCTCCTTACTCCTCCCACCATCGCTCCTCCTACAGGTCACCCTTCCGGTTAAGATAAAACTTTTCTCTCAAAATACAATTAGAGCATAACTTTATCAATTTGTATCAGTAAGGTACAAGATAGACCTAATACCCAGTCCATCATTTAAAAAAAAAAAAAAAAACAAGATTAATCATTATGCATCTCCCGCACTGCGGCCTTCCTCCAAGAGAACCCGGAACGGTTTAAAGCTGTAATAGCAGGTCCAGAGAGGCCTAAAAGCCACAAGCCAGAGCCACAATCTGAAGCAATGCACGCATTTACCACCCAGAACCGGGCAGCACCTACGGTGATCCTGGAGCCTGTGAGTGGTTGCCTTTGCGACCAGCCGGTGCACATCACCGTGCACGGCCTGGCCCCCGAGCAGCCCGTCACGCTGCGCGCCGCCCTGCGCGACGAGAAGGGCGCGCTCTTCCGAGCCCACGCGCGCTACCGCGCCGACGCCGCTGGAGAGCTGGACCTGGCGCGCGCGCCCGCGCTGGGCGGCAGCTTCGCGGGGCTCGAGCCCATGGGGCTGCTCTGGGCCATGGAGCCCGAAAGGCCTTTCTCTCGCCTGATCAAGCGTGACGTGCAGACGCCCTTCGTGGTGGAGCTGGAGGTGCTGGACGGACACGAGCCCGACGGCGGACGGCAGCTGGCGCGGGCGGTGCACGAGCGTCACTTCATGGCCCCCGGGGTGCGGCGCGTGCCCGTGCGCGAGGGCCGTGTGCGCGCCACGCTCTTCCTGCCACCAGGTGAGCAGCCCTCCGTCCTGTGCTTGCAGCCCGGGATGTTTCAGGGGTGCAGTGCCTGGGCCCCTTTTTCCCTGTCTCCCACACTTTTCACGGGGCTCCCTGGAAAAGCCTTAAGGACTTGGGTTCATGGTTGGGTGACTCGTGTCCTGAACTGAAGGTCACCGCTTGAGCAGCATCGGAGATTGCTTAGGAAAGTAGAGCATCAGAGCTCCCCCAAGCTAGAAATCTGCACTCTGATAAAAAGGCCTACTGGTGGTTGTGCTTGGGTTCGGGTTTGGCATCTGTTGCTCGTGAACAGTCCTTCAGGCAAAGTGGGTCAGCGCAAGCGCTGGGGAACTTTCTGACTTGCAGGACTTTAATGCCTCGCAGAATCTGGAAGTGTGTGTGTGGATTACCAGTGAGTTTTGTTTCTTAGGTGATGTTGATGTTACTCTTTCCCAGGGTAAAAGAGCCTTGAGAAGGACCTAAGTTCAGAGAGTCATAGAGAGCTGTTAACGGAATTTGGCTGATTGTTTCGTGTCCCTTTAAAATGCCAACAGAAGTGGCAGTTTATTGAGAGTCTGAAGAAGTGGTTCTTACAGAATAGGTAAAACTTTTTGAAGTTTTGCAAGTTTGAGTGGCTTAATATAGCTCTAGGATAGGGAAGCCATGTTGAAAACTGAGACCATGGTTCTTTGGTTAAAAACTTTAAAATACTTCAATGTGTTTACTTGTTTACCTATTTAAATAGCAACAAGCAAAAAATCAAGAACTCAGAGTTTTCCATAATAAAAGGTCCCTCTTCCGTGGGAAACTATTACCGGCCTTATGGGCAACAGTGTTTCCTTCCAGTTTTTAGTCTGAAGACCTGATTTGCCTCCCGATCAGAACATTATTTTTAAAGTTCAGACTTCCCTAAGGACTCTGTAATGCTTGCTGCATTCACAAACCACTGTCTTGTTTACTAGTTTGTAATCCATTAGGGAGTCTTCATTCTCCTTGCTGCCGGACAGCCCCTGATGCCCCCAGATCCCCTCCATAGCATCCTCTGTCTTTCATATTGCATTCAGTGAATCACTGCAAGCCCCTCAGTCCAGCTTCACTTGTTTGGTTGGTGGTTATTTTTTTAAGACAAGGTTTCTCTGTAGAGTCCTGGCTGTCCTGGAACTTACAATGTAGATCAGGCTGGCCTTGAACTCAGAGATCCGCCTACCTCTGCTTCCCGAGTGCTGGGATTAAAAGCATGTGCCACCATCGCACTCCAAAAGCTTCACTTTTAAATGCTGCCAGAATGCTCTTTTGATGTAGCTGGTCCAGGATACTCTCTTGCTCACATTTCTGAGTGTGTCTGTGGTATCTAAGAAAACAACCCAGGAGAAAATGAAGTATTTTATCTATAGCCAGCTTTCCAGACAGTCTGGACCGCCGAAAATGAGGTGAATCCCCATGTACTGATGGACGAGGGTGGAATGGTGCACAGGATATATTGATGTGTGAAAGAAAAAAAAAATCAGGAATGTGAGTATGTCTTCAGTGTTCTGAGAGATCAATTGTTGGTATTTATAAACAATATAAATAACCTGGGCGTATACTTGGCACACGGAGTCCTAGCTCCTAGACTTTACAGAATTTATCATCACTGTAATATAAAGAAGAAAACCATCAATTTCAAGGATCAGTTAAAAAAAAAAAAAAAGAAGAAAAGAAAGCCAGGCGGTGGTGGTGCACGCCTTTAATCTCAGCACTTGGGAGGCAGACAGACAGATTTCAGAGTTCGAGGCCAGCCTGGCCTACAAAGCAAGTTCCAGGACAGCCAGAACTACACAGAGAAACCCTGTCTCAAACCCCCACCCCCAAAAAAGAAGCAAATTACAATGTATTCTTCAATGTGTGACCCAGGACACAGAGCACACCACCCAGTTAGAAACAAAGACAACCATCTGGAGTCTTGAGAGTTAACACTTTAGTACACAGAACTTAGTCAAGTGCTTCTCTAGCATGCAGGAGACCCTTCATTCAATCCCAGCAATGGGGAAGTAGAAGCAGGAGAGACAGAAGTTCAAGGTTATGGAGGCCAGCCTGGGCTACATGAGACCGTTTCTAAATTTTAAAAAAATGCATTTTACATCAATTAAAAATATCCTAGGAGGGACTGGAGAGATGGCTCAGTTAAAAGCACTGACTGCACTTCCAGAGGTCCTGAGTTCAATACCCCGCAACCACATGGTGGCTCACAACCGTCTGTAATGGGATCTGGTGCCCTCTTCTGGTGTGTCTGAAGACAGCTACAGTCTACTCATATACATAAAATAAATAAATAAATCCTAGGAAATTGTGGCAAATGTAGAAGAAATGTAGCTTCCATCTGATGGTGTTGGTGTCAGCTGAAGATTATGAGCCATGGACATAGAAAGTGTGGATTTTGCAGGAGAATCTATTTTCCAGAGGATTCCAAGATGGCCAGTTTTTTATTTGATATCACAAAACCTGGGTGCTCAGGCCATCTGTTTCGGAGTTGCAAGGTTCCAAAAAAGGTGCTGTGTTGCTAAAATAGGAAAGAGACTTAGTCTAAGCCATTGGTTCAAGAATGTATGGTGTCTGTGCCACTCCATCCCGGCGCTGGCCACTCCATCCCAGTGTTGGCCACTCCATCCCGTTGGCCACTCCATCCTGGCACTGGCCACTCAGGGTTGCTGTACATTTAACCCTGTGCTGCTGACCTCAGAACACCTAGGTCACTCATAGGACTTTGTCTAGGTCACTGAGAGAGGGCAGACCCCCCCCCCCCATTTGGTATTTTTAGGAAAGGTAATGTCCTAGATCTGCACAAATACATCACCCAACAAAGTGTATTTTTAAAAACAGAAGAGGTTCAGATGTCCTACGTCTTTCTTCCTGTCCCCTTTCATGAAAGAATAAGACGCCAAGACATTTGGAAACTTAATCCTCAAGGGATGGTGGTTTTTTTCTTTCTCTCTTTTCAAGGCACTGGACCCTTTCCTGGAATCATAGACCTTTTTGGACTTGGAGGTGGCCTTCTGGAGTATCGGGCGAGTCTGCTGGCCGGGAAGGGTTTTGCCGTCATGGCTTTGGCTTATTACAACTACGACGACCTCCCCAAGAGCATGGACATTATCCACATAGAATATTTTGAGGAAGCTGTGACCTACCTGCTCAGTCACCCTCAGGTTGGCTATCACAGTTTTTTGGTTTAGCTTTTGGGGTCCTAAATGCCTCAAGCCAAAGTTAGATCTGCACTCTAGTTAGCTTGAAGGTTTATAACCATATTTAGTCTTTTCCAAAGATTATTTAATGGGGATCATCTCGGGAGACATGAGAAGGTTGGTACTTGGAAGTTTGAATCACTCATAGGGTGACCAACCATCCCGGGTTGCTGGGGGGAGAGGGTTTCTTTCTACAGTGTCCATTTCCCACCCAAACTGAGGTAGTCAGGACAAGTCATAGGTACTCATCTCCTCAGCTCTGACACAGTCTTGTGTCTGTGATTTCATGTCCACTCTCCAGTTTTGTTACAAGCATTAAAGGACTCATACTTGTGAAGCTGTTAGAATACACCTGGCATTTACTGATAAGCTTGTAGTCATCCATTCAGCAAACACTAGAAGATGTAGACATAGCATGGCCAGAAGACAAGACCAGGTCTGCACATGAGCATAGACACAGTGGGGAGATAGTGAAGGAAGGCTGGGGAAAACACGATTGCATGATTCAATGTTCATGAAAATAACAGAACAGGTAGAGAGTCACTCAAGTCAGATAAAAGGGAAAAGCCTCATTCTGAAGACAAACATTACCTGCTGTTAACTGTCTAGATCAGTCTAGCAGTTACGACTGTGTAAACATCTCAGTGCCCTTTACCACTTACATACTAGGAAGAAAGTAAATACAGAAAGAAATGAATAGTGATCTGGAATCTTCTCAGGTGGCTTCTGCTGATTCCACTTTTATATGGCTGATTATGATTTTATAAAGCATAGTGTCTTTTAGATACACGATGTCTACAACTTAGTTACCTCAAACGTTCTTTGGAGAAAAACTGTTACTTTTTAAGAAGAAAACATTTATTTATTTATTTATTTTGAAGAATAGACTCTTCCTCAGTATGTCTTTGTGTACCTTGTCACCTTCCGCAAAGAATGTCACCTGGGTTCGACTTCACACTTCTCCAGTTCCATGAACTTCTGTCGAGTGCAGGGACCGCTGATGAATAAGGGGGCTAAATAGTAAAGTGTTTCTCAACTTGTCTGAATGCTTCTTATGACATGATCATGTTCAGGGCCTGACTGTGATTTCTCATGTGAGTGGCAGGTAGACTCTGAGCTTGGCAGATGCCCAGTTTCCAAAGCCAGGATGGTATAGAGTCAGACTCAGGCTCAGGGCCACCCGATGTCCAGAAGTGGGTAACCCTCACTGTGAGCTCAGTCTCACTGTGAGCTCAGTCTTCTTCTTTTCTGTCTGTGTCTTTCTCAGGTAAAAGGTTCAGGAGTTGGGGTGCTTGGCATTTCCAAAGGGGGTGAACTTGGCCTTGCCATGGCTTCCTTCCTGAAAAATATCACAGCCGCTGTCATCATCAATGGCTCTATATCCAACGTCGGTGGAACCTTACAGTACAAAGATGAGACCGTGCTCCCCGTGGGCATGAACCCCAAACGAGTCAAGAGGACTGAAGATGGCCTCAAAGACATCGTGGATGCTCTAAACAATCCTCTGGAAGGAGCTGACCAGAAGAGCCTGATTCCTGTGGAAAGGTCTGACACGACCTTCCTGTTCCTTGTAGGTCTGGATGACCACAACTGGAAGAGCGAGTTCTATGCCAGAGAGGCCTCCAAACGCCTGCAGGCCCATGGGAAGGAGAAGCCCCAGATCATCTGCTACCCAGAGACAGGCCACTATATCGAGCCCCCTTACTTCCCCTTGTGTAAGGCTTCCCTGCACAACCTGGTGGGTGGTCCTGTCATCTGGGGAGGGGAGTCCAGGGCTCATGCCATGGCCCAGGTGGATGCTTGGCAGCAAATCCAGACTTTTTTCCATAAACATTTGGATGGGGACAAGAGGACAATCACAGCAAAGCTGTGATTTTTATTTAAGTTGTATTTTATTTAGGATCTCCGATGCTGCTCTCTCTCCTGGGAAAGCCTCTGCTGTATGTGTGTGTCTGTCTGTCTGTGTGTGTTTCTCTTTTACATCAATGTAGAGACTTCCTCTCCTCCAACATTTTTTTTTTTTAACTGCAGTGTGGCAGAAATTTCCCGCCTAATGTATTTGCAGCAGAGCCCTGTCATTGGACAGGGAAGAGGGAGGCGGAGCTAGGAATTAGGAGGAGAGAAAAACACTGGGAGAGAGGAGGAAGAGAACCGGAGGAGAGGTCAGATGGCTGCAGATGTTACCCTCATGTTTCTAGCAATCTCAGGTAGTTATATCAAGGTTAGATAATTGGGATAACAATTCTTATTGTCTGGGCATCTTGTGTATTGAGTATTCGCTGATATATAAATCTATTTGGTTAATCTTTAAGCATTAAGAGTTTCATTTTGCCGGGCAGTGGTGGCCCACGCCTTTAATCCCAGCACTTGGGAGGCAGAGGCAGGCAGATTTCTGAGTTCGAGGCCAGCCTGGTCTACAGAGTGAGTTCCAGGACAGCCAGAGCTACACAGAGAAACTCTGTCTCGAAAAACCAAAAAAAAAAAAAAAAAGAATTTCATTTCTACTGGGTACTGGGAATTGTGATATCTACCTCGAGGATGGCAGTTATTGTCTGGGGGTAGCAGAGTTGGCCCAGGGGCCATGCCTAGAGCCATGGAGGCCACAGAGCTGACCAGCGGAAGCAACAGCCAAGCTAACGATTTGTGGCTCCCCGGGCAGGTGCCACTGACCAGCAGGTGCTGCCATTAGTGTGAGAACTTAGAGCCGGCAGCCAGGTGGCTACAGTCTCTTTCTAATATCTCCTGCAACACTGCAGGCCTTATTGATAAGTCGTGGAGGGGAGTGATTATATAGAAAACATAAGCATTGCAAAAACTAATCTCTTGCAGAGGCTCAGCCTGCCAGCGAGCTGTAGCGTTGAAAGAAAGACCACATCTCTGCTACATCCCTGGAGTTCAGGGATTACTTGCTAAACAGCCGGTCAAAAACAAACAAATGATTACCTGCTGTTTAGATAAACATCAGCAGGAACTGGAAAGATGGCTCAGCAGTTAAGGGCACACACTGCTCCCATAGGACCCAAATTTGGTTCCCAGCACCAGATCCAAGCAGCTCACGACGGACTGTAACTGCAGCTCTGAGATACAGACCTCTCATCTGACCCCCTTGGGCACCCATACATGTGTTCATAAACACACACACCGAACACATGAATAAAAATATATGGTTTTAAAAGTATAAATAGCTGGGCAATGGTGACACACACCTTTCATCCCAGCACTGGGGGTTTGGGAGGTGGGAGTGGGGAGTGGGGACAGAGGCAGTCAGATCTCTGCAAGTTGGAGGCCAGCCTGGTCTACAAAGGGAGTTCTAAGACAGTGAGGGTTACACAGAGAGCAGAGAAACCCTGTCTAAAACTCAAACAAAATCATAAATCATGGCCCTTGAGTGTGAGGACTCTATTCCGTGGATTCCACTGATTGTATGTTTGTATAGAGAGATCTTTCCATGTCATTGCCTCTACACACCACACCACAATTAGAGAGCATTTCTGCTATAGTTCACATTCTAAGTAATCTGCAAGTGACTTAAATGTTGTATGTGTAATATCTGAAAATGCTGTTCTACCTGAGACAGCAGTCATTGCAGATTTGCCATCCGTATCAAATGCTTGTGGCTAGCGGTGGACAACTTTTAACATCAAACGTGTTGTGACCTCAGATGTGAGTTTCTTCTTTTAGGATGGAATTACCATCTTAGCCACCAACTAATAAGAGCCAAAAAATTATCAAATTTCAAAGGAACTTCAGTTTTCATCTTGGTTTTTCTTTTGGGTGAATTAGGACTTTTATTTTTTTTTTCCTGAGCAAATGAATTGTGTTAGGTCCCTGTTTATACATAGGAACACAAGATTTTGTTGCTTCTAAGCTTGATAAAACATTATTTGGCTTAACTACACAGGTAGTTTTAACAATGATAAGTGTGTATGTAATGATATCACTAGATACAAATAGTTCTAAAATAATAAACATTTCTTAAGCCTTAATTATTTTTAAATAAAAATACTTTGATGGTTAGCATCTCTTGTTTCTTTAATAGTCTTTTAAGTTTATAAATAGTTTATTAATTCGGCGAAGGTTTTTTTTATTGTTGTTTCAGAGGTAGACTTTCACTGTGTAGTTCAGGCTTGCCTGAGACTACTATGTAGCCCAGGCTGTCCTTAAATTCATAATCCTCTAGCTTCAGCCTCCTGAGTGCTAGGATTATAGGCCTATAAAACCATGCCTACGTTTTCCTGTTCCCTTCCCACTCCCACACCGACAAATTTTTGTTTTAATGTGTGTATGCGTGTGCCTGGTGCCCTCAGAGGCCAGAATAGATTAGATACCCTGGAACTGGAGTTAAAAGCGGTTACTGACCTGTAGAACTCTTAACTACTCAGCCGTCTCTCCAGCGCCACCTAGTGTTCTTTTTCACTTTAGGTTTTTTTTAGGTGTTTTTGTTTGTTTTTTTATGTATGAATGCCGTGCTTACATGAATGTCTGTGCACCATATGTGTGCAGTGCCTTTGGAAGCAAGAAAGGGACATTGGATCCTCTGGAACCAGAGCTGTAGGTGGTTGTGAGCCACCGTGTAGGTGCTGAAAATCAAACCGGGGTTACCTGAAAGAGCAGCCAGTGCTCCTAACCGGCAAACTGGCCCTCTGGCCCTGGTGTGCTTTTGTTTTGTTTTGTTTTGTTTTGTTTTGTTTTGTTTTGTTTTGTTTTG